TCTGTATGTGCAGGGAGAAAAATAATGTTTACAAAGAGGAATGGTATAATTTTTCATCTGCTCAGAAGACTGTCTTAACAGTGAATATTCATAAATTTGTATTTAAAGGTTTTCCTAAGTGGTTGCCTAATGATGGGGTTTGGGTTACGAAGTATCAGTATGCTCTTTAGATTTAGGTAAAGAAGATCTCATCCCCTTTGCTGAGGGACAATGGCTATTGAATATAAACCGGGCTGACTTCATACCCTCACTTCTTAAAGTGATTTGTTTATTTTTAAATTACTTAGTAGGTGACAACTTGTCATTTTAACAATTGCTATGGAAACAACGTGCTTTCAATTTGTACTTGCTATAGCACCATTGTCAGGAATGTGAAAACGGTAATGAATTCCTTTGAATATAACAAGGTTTGGGTTTTTTTGTGTGGTTTTTTGTTTGGTTTTTTTTTTTTTAATAATCTGTCCTGGATTGTTTTTCTCCAAGGCATGACAAACTTCAGCTATAAATAAGCTACTTGAAGTCTCACAGCCCACTCTGGATTGCTCTTGCTAATGGGATCGCAAGCTGTAAGCAACAGAGCAGCATGAAGGGGAAGTCTAGCTACTATCTCTGATGTCAGGAAAGGGGCAGCATAGTAGTACCAGTGCTTGGGACTTCGAATTGGAGCTAGGGTAAGGAAGAGGATGCCCACACTTGCCAAGGAGCCATGCATTAAGGACTTCATTTGAGTGGTCTGGGACAGAGGAGGAGCTATTGTCCTGCACAGAGCTGTCGCAAGACATTGCTGTGCATGCAGCAACACACTCACAACAATCCTCACAACACTCACTGGAGTCCTTCCAGTCCCTGCTGTTGCAGCAAATCTGCAGGGTATGCAACAACAGCAAAGGGTTTAAAACTACTCTCATTTGGCACAGCTGTTGGCAACTTAGGGACATCCAGCCTTTCTACAGTTTCTGTAAGCCGCTATCATCAGCTTACAAAGCAAGCACTGCCTCTGGAGTTTTCCAGTTTTGTGATCTTTCTGCCATCATCCATACTGACTGTATTTGTGGAGCAAATTCAGAAGGACATATCATCTCAAGTCCTTAGTGGAGGTTTGACAGCAGGGCCAGCAGCAGAAAGACGAATACCTGCATTAACATATTCTTTTAAATCCTGATGCGTCAGGATTTTGTGTGTGCTCTGGTGTCAAAAGGTTTTAGTGGCAAAGAGTTCCATGTATAATATTTGCTATGCAGAGAGAATTTCCTCCTTATAATTTTGAATTTATCTTTAATTGAAGAATCCCTGTTGTTAGGGATCAGCCAGAAAGCTGAGCTGTTCCTGATGTATTGGTTATTTTATTATAGCTCCTCTTATATATCTTTTTCCTCAAGTAATGCATCCCAGTGGCTTCTGAATTTCTCCATAGGAGAACTTTTCTACCCCCTTGATCATTCTTGCTGCCTGACTAGGGATCTTCTTTCATAATCATGTGCTATCCATCAACACATTCTGCCTGAGGACATCTGCTCAGCTGGTAGACGTCTGATAAATTACGTGCTAAGTCTAGGTACTTCCAGAAGGATGTTCCTATCTGTCTGTTTGTCTCAGAGTCTCTTGGTGAGTTATTAAAAGTCTTTTCTACTTGAATCTTCCTAGCTGATATCAGAATTGTCTGATTCTACTTTTTTAAATTAGGTGAGGCAGATCACTCTCTTTCTGACTGCCTTGTTCTTGTTCACCATGCTCTCAGTTCCTGCCAACCCCAGATATTATTGCCAGTAACTTTGAAAATAAATTTTCATTTCCAGTATTGATGCAAATTTTGAATAGCAACAGGTCTTGAAATGATCTCTGCAGCAATCCAGTGGAAGCATCTCATTTGCTCAGTCCCCAACTGACTCAGCAATCTGTCAGCATATTCTGAATTTAATTACCCTGTGCTTTATGGTTTTATTGCTAACTTTTTAAAAATCAAAATTGCATGTGGTAATAAGCCTCTCATGGCATCTTGCAATACTTCTTAAAATTTTTGTATAATAAATGAGAACTCTCTTTGGCAATTTTATTTGTAGTTTTTTGGGCTCTGAAACTAATTTGCACTGTCTCGGATTTGTTTTGCTTATGTCAGTTTCTGTTTATGCACTTACTAAACTGTGAACAGCTGCCAAGGCACTGGGGAATTTTTTCTGCAGAATCAGTAAGCATATTTTACAGCTGGGCCAGATTTCTTTTTTCCTAAATGAATATTTTAAGTGTCACCTTATTCTTTGGGTGTTATTTCCTATCTACTGTCAGGGGAATTTTCGATTCCTTTCCTTATGCTGTTTGTGTTGTTTTATTTGTTTTTCTCCTAGACCAGAGAATGGTACTTCTCTGCACCAAAGCTTTTGTAACTTACCTGTGACATATAAAAATCAACCTGTCAGAGCCCTGCATGTCTGCCCACACACTCCTGAAGGTTTAGCTACTTGTGTTCAAGATGCTCCAAGGCTCAGGTTCGCTGGAGGTGCGAGGCACAGGCACGGCTGCGACGTAGCTCAGGCAGGGACCAAGGGTGAGGGTCTGAGCGTAAATCACTTCCTGAGCAGAAAGAGGCTCCTTTTAGCTCTTCTCACAGCTCTGCTGTTTTCCTAGTGGTCTGATCCAAGATTACCCAGCTGCACCATGGCAAACTGGGCCTTGAGCATCAGCAGCCAAGCCCTTAGGAGGGAGTGGGTGTGCTCGGGTCAGACATGGCTCTTTTATAGGCTCTGGACATTTCCATTTAGTTAAAAAGAACAGCCTACTTTATTACTGGCAGACTAACCAATTTCAGATTGCTCCACGGTTAGGTTTGTTTCTGTCCAAGATGATTACAAATGGTGCTAGTTTAATTACATAATTAATTAATGAAAAGTTTATGGAAGTATAAAATTTTTCAGCCTGAGACTGTTTGTTTAAGTGTGTGTTAGTGATGTGGGCTCGAACTCCTAACCACATGGTTGCAGATCTGCAGGTAAAGTGGGCATTATAGGGAGATGACATGAACTTGAATAAATAGGTTCATGAACACTTGGATGAATTCATGAAAGCTGCGATGAAGAAGTGTGCAAGGAGGATGCTTAAAGGCAGTCTGGTGAATGATTTTTCTTTGGGAACTGTGCATTATAGGACAGAAAAACGGACATAACTCACTTTTTTTGGCAAGCAAATAGCTTTCTTTTTGCATTTCCTTTTGGTAATTTAGGATAGGATATTAGCAAAAAGAGACTTTTCAGCATTGGTGATACTCCTCCCTGCTACTTCTGCTTTGGCTGGGGAATGTTTCTTCTTTTTATTTTCTCTTCATTTGGTTCTCACCGTCTGTGCTCCATCCTTTTTTTTAAAAAAAGGCTTTTCAGTTGTGTGTTCTGTTTGTCTTTTTTTTTTTTTTTTCTTTTCTTGTTTTACGGTGACTCTCCGCTGCAGCACTTTTCTCACCAGCAGTACCTCACCGTAGGGCTGCAAAGCCAGCGGTACGTATCTGGCCTTGGGCATCCTACATTCTTTAAATCTGCCAAATGTTTCATTGGTGCTCTTGCCAGTGCTCACGCACAGCTGGATGCAGGGCAAGCGTGGGGGTGTTGCAGTGGGGAGGGCAGGTGGGAGAGAGGGAAAGGGATGAACTGCTGTGAGCCTGCATCACAGCCAGTGTGCTGCTTTTTATGTTGGGATGGGGCGACTAACTTGATTAGTGTGTATTTTCATAAAGACATTTACTGTGTTACTAGTGCCTCATTATCAGAATGAAAATAGTGGATTTATTAAATTCTTCAAGGTATTCAAATGTCTGTGTTCCTTTTGCATCTTGGCAAAATGAAAAGTATTAACTAGAGTTTGTATGCTGTTTTTTTTCCCACTGGACCTATTAATCTGTCTATTCCAAATTTGAATTTACGCAAGGATGGTGAAGGTATGAATTTGTCTTGTGACTAGTGAACTGCTGTAAAGATGGTGACATTTCAGTAGTGAAACTTTCTCTGTGTTTGTGGCTTCTTGTGTAAAGCATTGACAAAGCTGTGTTTGCAGTATGAAAAGTGTGTTTCTCCTAACGTGTGCTCTGTCAAAGTTCATCTTCCAAGTGTGGCCTTTCTACTGAAAAGGTTATGGCAATACCTGTTGAGCTAAAGTTCATTCTACATTAATATCATCTTTTCATAATTTCAGAATATGTATGGAGTAGTTCATGCACTGTGGTAATTACATACAGTAAGATTGTGATTATATGGTCCTGTGCTGACTGCTCTTCATATGTGCAGCACCACAGAAAAGTATTTTTGTTTGTTTTTTGTTATTATTACTTGCCATTGGAAAATTTTTCATATCTGATTACTTCTGTTTATAATTCTCTTGACTATGTCCCCTAGCTCAAGACAATGTTTAGTTTAAAAAAACGAAACAACCACAAACCAGACCATAGGCTGGTAGCACACTAAAACAAAACAGGGGTCTTTGGCTTCTTTCCAGTCTCCATGTGGGGTAGCAGCAAAGGTGCCAAGAAGCCAGTTGTAAGCAGCTAAGTGGGATTTTTTCCACAGTTGGGATGAAATTACTAGGTAAGAAAAAGATGACATTATGTCCCTTAAGGCAGCGCATGGATGATATAGCTGCAGCGCTGCTGTGTCCAGAGACTTGTAGTTCAGTGGGACTCTGGGTGTTTCACAGGCTGCTTTGCATGACTCCCTCTGCTGCCAGTGTAATAACAGCTCTTTGTGGCTGTCTTTTTCATTCACGTGTCCATTTGTCCTGTTTCTCTAAGTAGCAGCTCGTATGTGCGGTGTTCATGCGAAAGATTGTGCCCAAAGCTTGTGAATTTATTTTTACAAGTGAATACGCTCACGGTATTATTCTTTTTAACAAAGCCTTCTTTAAAGTCTTACTTGAAATTACTTCTGTTGCTGTGCTACCACTACTGTTACATGTTCAAGCCTTGAACTGTCAAGGAATTATGAAGTATTTTTATCCTGTGACATTTTAAATTATTCTCTCCATAGGGAAAGCCTGTGGGAACGCCAGATGCTGGTGCCTATTTCCGTGTGCTAGCAGAGCATGAAGTAGCTGCCTTCTTTACTTCACCAACTGCAATTAGAGCAATCCGTCAGCAGGACCCTGAGGCAGCCTTGGGAAAGCAGTACTCTCTGAAAAGGTGAACTAAGGATACACTGGAAGCAGTTTCTTGCAGAAACAGGCTGGATGAACTAAGAATAGCAGAGTGTCTGGGGCTTTGCCCACCTCTGTATAGCAGAATTTAAATATATTCTTGACAATTTACGTATACGTGTATTTGCTTGTAGATGTATATTGGTAGTTTGGAGGAGATGAAAGCTGTTAAAAAGATTATGATTCTAAGGTTAAGAGCTCTTACTGAGTTAGGATTGTTTGCTCATCCTTAATTTACTACACTGTAATGCAGTCTTGGATTACATGATCCCGTACCGTTTTCCCACATGACCTCTCATTTCATTGAGTGCACAAGATCTCTAGTGTTTGTTTAATCAGGATAGTCAGTGTTCTGTTTATCTCCCCATAACTTAGTTACTGTTTATGGTTATGCGCTCCAAAGACTGAGCTATTTGCTGTCTGGTACTGTTTTTAAGGTGTTTATCACTATACTATCAGCAAGCTTCAAAATCATGACTGAGCTCATCCTCACAAATCCCCTGTGAGATGAGAGAGTGGTATTATCTGTATTTTGCAGATGGGAAGCTGAGGCACAGAGAGATTAAGGTCAAAGTCTTCTGTATAGTTTTGAATATCCAGTCTGAGCCACTGAACTACCACTATTTCAGAGTTCCTAGCATTATATGATTAAAATGAATTGTTAGCATTATATTAATAAAATGCCTCTCACACTGACTTGCATCTCTGAGTGTTTAGGACTTCTACAGGCCAAGTTTCTGTATCTTATGGCAAACATTCTAAAAATGAAAAATAAGTGGTTTTGGACCACATCTAATCTTGAAATTGAATAATTTGCTCAGCATCAAACAAGGACTGTGTCAGCCTGTATAGGCAGTATTCAGTCCTAAGAACATCTTTTATCACTCTTGTCCAAAGAGAAGGAGAAGAGGCAAAGCCATGTAGCTTCATTAGACCTCCACGTTCTTAATTGCTTGGGAAAGTTTTGTTTATTAGTAAGCTAGATTTATTCCTGAGGTATTCATTACAAGTTCATAATTACTTTCTTCCATCTGTTTTGAGTGCTATCATCAATCCCTAGCCCTCCTTGAAATAGGAAACAAGCTCATTTGAGATCCTAATGCTCTATTCTTCTATGACGTTTATTGACAAGAAAGTGATTCAGATGCTAGAAAATTTAATTGCTGTTCCTCAGCATTTTTAGACAATGGCTAAAATGACTTAGTCTGTCTTTAGAGTATTCATTTAATGAAAAATCTGCTTACCTGCTCTGTAAGTTGTCATAGTTTCTGGCCAAATGAGAATTCCAGATAAGAGTCTCCTTGCTGGTATCAGTTGCCCCATATGTAAAGAGGTATTTCATCATTCCTATTCAGTTAATGAGCTTCTCCATTTGTCTGCAGGTTTTGTTGTCTCATAATTCACTCAGTTTTGGGCCACGTTGTTCCCTGGTATGTGATTTCTCTTTATTGAACGCTCTAGCGCAGCATTTAATGTCTAGTAGGTGCTAGTAGTTGTTAAGAAATGGAGTCCAACAGGTGATTAAAATTTCCATTGTAGGAAAAACCTTGCTTTCCGGTGTTACTTGGACAGGCTTTTCCATCCAAGGTCAAGTGAATTCTGTCTGTTTCAGTTTGAAATCAGTCTTAATTTTAGTTCATTTACTTGATCTATGATGCTTTCTTCTCTGTTATATAGTGCAGAATCTTTGAAATGTGATGTCTTTCTGCTACCTGGGCTAAGGTGTATCCTTACTTACTCTAGAGACTCTAAAACACATGTCCAGGAATGCATTCTGGAAAAAAGTTTCCACTATGATGCATTTCATTCCTGAAAAATGCTATTAAAAAGGTGATGAAGGTCAATGTCACTGTTAAATCCTGTTAAAAAAGACAATTACTGGTAAGGTACAGAGTTGGTAGGCCATGCCAGCTTCCAGTATACAAGGGAGTACTTGATTTACAAGAGTAAATTGAATTATAAGCAGACTTGCATTCTTTTGAAATGACATAAGTTAAATAATTTTCTGGTAAGAACTGTCATTGGCAGCATCACTGGCCTCTGCAGAAAATTATTTGTGAGGTTTCCAAAGGTTGTAGTGCATATGCTTCAAATTCCTTGTTAGCTATTGGAGTCAAATCTTGAAATTTGCTTGCCTTTGACACGAAATGTTGCCTGTGTCTTAACCACAACTCATGCTTAACAGTAGAAGAGATGTTTAATTTATAATACTGTGGGGTAAAGCCCTGTTCAACCACATATTGTTACAGGATCTAAAGACCCAGGTTTTGATAACACATAGTGCTGCTAAGCAGGCTGTCTGATCATATTGTTGCCTCTTGTGTTTGAAAAACAAGTAGCATCCAAATTCTATGACTTTCATATACCTGAGCATATTCTGTTCCGCTTTTGGAATCTTTTCTCATCTTCATGAGGTAACTCCATAACACAGAGCCATTAACTCTTCCCATAACTGGAATCACACTTCATCCTTTAATTGACTTAATTGTTATGAACTGGTTAGCTCTGATTTCCAAATGATTGACAACTGACAGTTTAGCATGAAATGGGGCAACGACTCAGTAGATTAGATTAACATACAAGTAATAATTTGCAGTTTGTGTCCCATAGCCTACTTGGGTTTCTTGACTTTTGGTCAATTGTGAACATTCTGCCATTCTACATCAAGAGAATCTACAGATTCTAGTTTGTTCATCTGATACCAGATATTGGTGCACTTGCTTTAGAAAGAAATATGAGACTACATAAAAACTGTGCAGAAATAATGAACATAAAGTAGATTAGAGACTCCCATTTTCTGTCTCATAACATAGGAACAAGAGGATTTGAAATTAAAGTAGCAAATTCAAAACTGTTAGAACAAAATACTTTCTCATATAATTGATCTCACACATGCTGCTAGAGGGTATGTGATTAAGACCCAGAATTTAGGACAGCTGAAGTACATTATGCAGTTCTGCCTCCTACACCCTACTCTGTACTGCTGTAGATCATGTATGGCCATTCCTGTTGGAGTCCTGAGCTGTGTTCATGAAGAGCTTTTGTGGAGCTCCCCTTCACCCACACTGCAAGAAGAAGCTGAGCTGTAGTTGTGTTCTGTGTCTCTGACTCTGTCACCCAAACCTCCAGTGCTTGCATCCTTATGACCAAGGTAAAAATCTATTCAGGGAGGAAAACAAACACATCAATGGATAAAAATCAGAAGACCTGAAAATAGTATTTATTTATTTTACGTTTTTAGGTGTCTGCAGTCTCCAGGTGCATTAATAATTACTAAGAGTTCTTTATGTTAAAAGTGCAAATGAACCTTCCTCACTGTCTTTTCAGGGAAGAAAGCTTATTTAACACGATGCAGATAGTTTTTCTTTGCCAGAAAAAAAATGGCGTACACATTCCAGAATTAAAAACACTTCTGTGATCTTTTAATCTGGAAAAGTGCAGCTCAGATTATTACCCATATGAACACTTCTGCTTTTGGGAAATGATTTGGAGATGTGGTTTCTTTTGTGCTTGGAGTGACATAGAGATGTACATGCTGTATTGAACAATTTAGATTGCATCAGGGCCATTAGGGACCCTGATCTGTCCCCTATATCAGGTTATTTTTCAAGTCCACTCAGCTGGACTCTTCAGTAGGGCCTAAAAGCTTGATTGCACTGAATTTTATGTTAGGAATGTAGGCTTTCAGAACAATAGTTTAGAACATATTTATTTAACAGAAAGGTTTTAAGATCTTTCTTCCCCATTAACTACATTGCAGTGATAGATGATTGCAGTAATAGGTACATTGACGTGCTTTGAAGTTTTAAGTAGAATGTTAAAAAGTTATTCAGAGTGGGATGTTTTATAACCATTGCCATCTCTCTCTTGCTATACTGTTTGATAGGAGAAAATAATTCCCTAGTTCTTACGCTTTGTTAGGCTTGTGGGACTTTGTCCTGATACTATTTTTAATGGGTTTGTGCTGTAAATTTGCCAAAAAGCTAGTCTCTCTCCTTCTCACAACGTAAGGTTGCTCTTGAGCCTGCAGATTATTAAATCTGCTTATTAAAGCTGGCAATTCAGAAGGGAGGCATTCTGCTTTTGGCTCAGGGGATAACATCATTTAAAGGTCTCTTTCAACCCAAATGGTCCATGATGTCTTAACTTTTTCGTTAAAGTCTTTTAAGTTCTTGGTGTTTTAATAGCCTATTTTTAAAACAAGGACACTTAACAGAATTTTTCAGTGGTTTATAAAGTTAATGAATTCATAAATTGAATTTTTATGTCATAGCTGAAATGTTGTGTTTAACGTGCTGAATTACAGAAAATTCCATATAATGCAAATTGGGCAGTGCTTAACAGAATTGCTCTGCATGTGACCATGAGTCTTAAAAAACTTTTCTTAAAATACATATTTGTGGGTTTTAGTTATACAGTATTTTGTTCTCTTCTATCATAAGCTTTTATCCGTGTTATAACTTGCAGTTAGCTATTAACTGTAATTATCAGCAATGGCTTCTGCTTTACAATAAAAAGCATTCAGGTGCAAGATGTTGATTGGGGTCACACTCATTATAGTAATTATCTTCTAATGTGGGAGATGTGCTCAGAAAGCAGTTTACCAAAGTGATGTATATCTATGAGTACAGAAAACTAGGTTTATTCGATGTGAAAGCTGCTTACACAGACCCCCTTCTTTCTATTCCAAGAAATAAGCCACTCTAAGCCACCTTGGGGTGTCAGAATGGAGGGTTGGCCGAAATGCTGTTCTGAAATTCAGGAAGTTGAATTCTTTCATCTTCAAGTTCAACATGGTAACGTTTTTCAAGATCTTCTGACTTTCAGAAGTTTGTAACCAGATGTGCCGTAAGTTGATTTTCCTATATGAAAGTTATTATTATGGCTACCTCTATGATTTTTACTTAGTTAGAAGAGACTTAACTGAAAAGTAAAATTACTGAAAAGAAAATTGGTTCTGTTTTGCCTCAAACCAGGACAACTTGGTTCACAGATAAGACCATTCTCAGGTTGTTATATTTAGCTGGTGCGGGGTCCCTATGTTGGTGATGAGAGTTTCCAATATCTTTTGCTTGTGGAAGTTTCTTTTCTTGTGTTCTAACTATGGATCTGTAAATGGATCTAAGACAATAAACTCATTGATTTTTTTTATTTCTAGGCCAAGCTTCACTGTGGAAAAAAAACCCTGTTCAGTTTTAGGACATGTGGCTTATTGCACTTCATGATGTTTCATCCCATGTTTTACTTACATTGTCTCTAGATGTGGCTTTACTCTGTACATTCTCCTGCCCTGCATTTACACAGCAAGTAGGTCACTAGTCTTTATGCTGTGAGAAGCTGCCTTTTATGCTAATGGGATGTACCTATCCTCTGGAGAGGAATGGCGTGTGAATATTCAAAGTATGCTTTTTGGTTTGGACAGCCATGTTATGAGACGTCTGTGGTCTCTAGATGAGAGGTCAGTCTCTAGGTTCCCTCTTAGAGGTATTTCAAGTTCTATGGTTAGAGAGGTTAGAGAGTGCATTTCTCTTTCTCATTCCTGACACCCTTGAGTTACTTGCTCTGACTTTTCTCGTAATTTCCTAAATTCCTTTCTGGACTTCATCTGCATCGAAAGATGAGTCTTGTAGTTTTCTTTCTAAATTACATGCCTCTAAAATGAAATTTGTTTCATGCCCACCATATCTAAGAATTCTCTCTTTTTGCACGCATGAGTCTACAAGTTTTTCAAAATCAATGCAGTTTGTGTCCATTGCTGAAGGACAAGAGTAAAGTCCTTTGTTCAGCAGTTGTCTTAATTCATAATGGACTGTGTGAAGACTTGAAGTGAAACAAATGTTGCTGACATTGATCTGGCTGTGGTAGAGTGTGCTGCAATCCTAACAAGGGGACATTTTGGAGAAGTACTTTTAATCTCAGGGTCTGATGTTAGGCCACATGAAGCTCCTAATTTTAATTACGCATTCTGTCATCTCAGAAGCCTTGAGGATTGATGCAGTACTTGGTAGAGTATCTCTGCAGTTTCTCTTGGCATGACAGGCTGTTCGTGAAATGTTTAGTCACTTGTAGTGTGAATATGCCTGTACAGTTTCACTTGGAGAAAGAGGTTATTTGCTTTTATTTGCATAGAAGCAGAGTTCTTCTATGTGCAGTCTGAATCTGTGTTTGCCTCTTATCTTTCCTCTTCTCCCTCAACTCTTTGAGGTTTTAAATTGCATCTCTGGGTAAAATGAAAATGCTGATGGTGGTGGTCATACACTGAGTAGAGAGGATTTGGGAGGGCGAAGGTGTGAGACCACCCTGTGCAGATACTACAGAAGGGAAGCAAGTTCTTTGATCTGTAGTGATAGGGCATGTGCGTGGCAGCTCTGCATTCAGAATTCGTGTTATACCTTGTGGCAGAATTGCACCTAGTGGTTACAAACAGGCATTGACATGGCTGAAGTGTTTCAGATTGCTACACTGGCCTTCCTTTTCCATTGTGATTTATCTGTAAAACAAACTCAGAAATGTTATGTCTCAAATTTCCCTCTGGTTTAGATTTTATTTCCCTAATAGATGATTTCTGTTTCAAAATCTTGCTTAAATAGGAACATGTTTAAGTGTGCAGCACAGTAAGAATGTCCAAAACTTTCAGACGTTCCCAATCCCCTTTTTCTGAGATGCAGGAACACCCCTTCCAAGTTATGCTATGTTTTTAAACAGTAACTTAACAAAGTCTCTATACTGTAGCTTAGTCATGTGTTAGTGTTGCCCTAAGGCCTTGGATTTTGTTTCATTTTGGTTTTCAGTTTTTGTTATGTAAAAAATAAACCTTAACCTTTTGAGTCTCTTAAAGGTAAATTGCTCTCTATAGTTTCCTCTTGTTCTTTGCGGACTACAGAAGCAGCCTAGAGAACTAGTTCAGCATAGACATATTTTTTGGATAATAAGAGCTGAGTAAGATAAATACTATCCATTGCTGTCAGTAGAAACCATGCTGTCACAACACAGACTGTAAAACTAAGCATGTACTAATGACAAAGTATTGAATATAAATCAGCAGTTCGTTCGAGTACAGTGGGCCATTCATTTTCATCTGTACATTATGAACCTGAATTAAAAGTTCTGTGTTTCTATCCAAGATTGCTTATTTCTCTGTTGGAGGTGCAGAGGCAAGATCGTAAATGATTCTTCTCTTTAGTATCTTCTTAGGTGACCGTGTCTGGCCGGTGTGATGAATATCTCTGACTTTACAGTAGCATAGAATAGACCAGAACAGAACTCTTCAGTTGGAAGGGACCTACAACTATCATCTAGTCCAACTGCCTGACCACTTCAGGGCTGACCAAAAGTTAAAGCATGTTATTAAGGACATTGTCCAAATGCCTTTTAAACACTGACAGGCTTGGGGCATCGACCCCCTCTCTAAGAAGCCTGTTCCAGTGTTTGACTGCCTGCTTGGTGAAGAAAACCTTCCTGATGTCCAGTCTAAACCTCCCCTGGCACAGCTTTGAACCATTCCCACATGTCCTGTCACTGGGTACCAGGGAGAAGAGATCAGCACCTCCCTCTCCACTTCCCCTCCTCGGGAAGCTGTAGAGAGCAATGAGGTTGCCCCTCAGCCTCTTATGACATTCCTTCCAGCCCTTTCACCAGCTTTGTTGCCCTCCTCTGGATGTATTCAAGGACCTTTACATCCTTCTTAAATTGTGGGGCCCAGAACAGCACACAGTACTCAAGGTGAGGCCATGCCATATGCAATTTAACAGGGCTTTAAATTGCTCATTAGGAAATAATTGCCAAAAATCTGCTATGACATGAATATAGTTACTGCGCAAGTGTTAGACCAAAACCTTAGCAGCGTGCAGTAATGTACGGTAATGTCTAGCTTCTGAGTACTGATAGTCATATTTAAGAATGCTACCATTGACATAGAGGATCTTATCATTCTAAACAGGGCATGAAGTGAATTCGTGATGCTTAATGAAGGACTATAAAGCGTGACTAAACTTCCAATAAAAGATGCTGAAGTTGAAGTCTGTGTGTGGGTTTAATACCCAGTTATATAGCACTACCTAATCTAATGGTACAGACATGCAGATCACATTTGTCAGGACTGCTAGGCGTTGCATCTCTTCTCTGCCAAAGTTGGCTGCATAATGTCCAGTCAAATGAGCTGAAGTCTAGAACTGCAATCAGGGACCCATGGCTGCTGAGTGTTGTTCTGATTGACATTATCTAGTAGGATTTTTTTTAAATATATATTTATGTGTGTGTAGCCTGCCTCTCCCCAGGAAAGTGGCTTTATGTACCATTGCTTTCCCCAAAACTCATTTCCAAATCCCTATAAAAAGATGACTCGACAGTTCAAAAAATACAAAAATATGTTCAAATGGAACATTACTAACAACTTAAAACTAAGAGTTATGCTACAGGTATTTCCTTTTAGTTCTGTTTATTTCTCTACTAGTTTTTCTGATATCTCTTTCTGACTGTTTTTTGGTATTTCATTCTTACGTTTTGCCTAATGGATATCTACCTAGCTCCTGTGTACAGAGCATTTAATTATTTTTTTACTTCCATTGACAGTTACTAGCCTCTGGTCTCCCAAGGTCTTTGCATTCAGAAAATAAAGTTTCTTTTACATGATCTATGAAGTAGCATAAATTAATATTGCTAAGATTCTAATTGTTACTTAGTAGGAAGGAGCATACAAAGAGTGAGTCCTCCCTCCCCTTTTCTCTTTATCTGGAACACCAGCCAGAGATATTTATTGAATTTGTTGTCCATCCAGATCAAGATATATAATTTTCTGTTTTTATTTAAAGGTTCAGAACGTTATTTGTAGCTGGTGAGCACTGTGATGTGGACACACTAGAATGGTCAAAAAAGGTCTTCAAGGTACCTGTCTTGGACCACTGGTGGCAAACTGGTGAGTGTTTTAAAATACGGTGAGGAGATATTTCCAGACTTGTTTCCTGAGTAACGTAGAACTGGTTTCTCTTTCCATGAACATTTACATAGGCAGGACCAAGTGTGAAAATAAAAGTTCAAGCAGGAAGAATGTTTTTTGGAAGTGGTCTGAAAAATGATTTCAGGATATATTTAAAACACAGCATTTTTAAAAGCTATATGGAAAAAAAAAGGTATTTTCTGATGCCTGTGTTTAAAAAAAAAAAAAAAAAAAACAAAACCAAAAAAAACCAACCAAAAGTTTGCATTGGTATTTTTTCCAGGTGTATTTTTATATTGTTTGCATGTGTGACTATTTTGTGACAGATCATTTAGTATCTAGGGAAGCTTTCATGTTTAAGTTAAGTTTTTTGCACATATATTTTGTGTAATCTGCAGCACAGAATAGACTCCTTGGTCTTTAATATTGTTCTGTATGGATCTCATCCAACTTCTATTGGTTATTTTGGGATGTCTCCCATTTATTTCACTGGAGGAGAATTAGATACTTAGAATGCAATGAAGGAATCAGAGTACCAGTCTAGTGTAACTTTGCAGAAATCCCAGTTGAAATCTGGATTAAGGCTTGATCAAATGTATCTCCTTATAACTATGGATTAATATATTTTTAAATTTCACTATTACAAGATCAGGTTTGGATTTTGCTTCTTACACACGTTATTGCTATTTAAGCTAAGGAAGTGTATTACAAAAGCTCCCTCCTCCCCTCCCTCCTTCCCCTCCCTTCCAAGAATACTTCTTCTATTTTCTGTGCATGACTGTTTTGAGATGCATATTTTCTCTGGTCTGTCTCTCTGTGGAGAAAAATGTTTTGATTCTCCCATGATGGGTCAGATAGCAGAAATGTAAGTTTAGAATAAAAAGTGAAAAGCTTTCTAGTTAATCTATAATGTATGTTATGTAATGAAATCAGTTAAGGAGGTTTAAAATGCATCATTTTTATTTTTTAAAAAAAGCACAGTTTTAGATAAATACTGAGAAAGTACTGGAAGATAGTAGTGTCATTTTTTATTTAATCTGCTAATTAATTGATAAATACAAGGGACAAGACCTATATTTCGCTCACTTATCTATGATCGTAATGTCTGTAGGCAAGAACAGGCCTCGGTGGTGCAGAATGGGCAATTAACTGAAACAAGTTAAAGGATCAAATAATGTCTTTGCCTACTGAACTGTCAGTAAGCAATATTACTGTATGGAATTTTGCGTTTGTTTCTATCTGTCTATGTCTGTGCACATGATATATATAATTGCCTATAGCTTTGACGTATACGTAGTGCAAAGGTTTAATGTTACTGCATTCGTTCAGATGTATCGCAGGTATCAATGAGAGATCTTAAACAAGCATGTGGATGTAATTGTACTTATAGCGTGTAAAGGTAAGACTGTGTTTGAGAGACTTTTCAAAAAAGACCACGAGACCAGTTCAGAGTATAGTATGTTTCTTATTTTTTATATTCATGGCATACTCTTAAATTAACTTGTAGCAGGACTTAATGAGCTAGGGCTATTTCAAATACAGTGTTTGAGAGCATTTAATAATTTGATTAGAATGAAGACCCATTTTTATTTCCAAGTGATTTCTGTAGAAGTGTGTGCTGTTGAATCTAAGCAAAGCATTCAGTCTGAAGGAAAAAGTTTACTAAGTCAGAGTTCCTATCAGAGAACTGAATTTCAAGGGATGAGGAGAAAGTAAGAAGGAAGAATCACAGAATCATTGGGTTGAAGAGATCGTTGGTTTCTTGAAGAGAGGACTGACAGTTGCTCTCTTCCAGTCTTCAATAACCTCTCCCAGTTGTCTCCAGTAGATATGCGCTACAACAGCATGAATGTTGGTCTGCCTTCTGGTCTTCACTCATAAGTTCTTGACTGGTTTCTGACCTCACCTCTGACAAGGCAGAGCCCCTCTCACATAAAGTGCAGCACCCCCTTCCTTGCCTCCCAGGCACAGGAAAAAACTCCTAAATAGAATACAAGCTGATAAACTAGATTTGTATAACTTTTAAAACAGAGAACATTCAGACCTGGTAGGTGAGATGAAATAGAAATGCTTCTCCCCACACTGTCCTGTGTTCCTGAACTTCCCTTGAGATTAACATGCCTAAATGCTCAGGGGGAAGAAGCAGGTCCTCCTCCCTCTGAAAGGCTCCGCTTGTCCCAGAGCACAGCAGCCAGGGCAGCAGACGAAAGCAGCCTTCCCTTCTGCTGTTCAGTCACCTCTTTTTTAGCGGAGCACAAAACGTATCCCATTAACTGTGAAAAAACAAGCAGTTGTGTCACATTCAACTGTGTCTGTCACTTGGTAAAATTTTGCTGAAAGTGGATTTCTGTGGCGGAAAAGCCTTTTCAATCCAATAGTACTGGGTTTCAGTACACTAGGTTAAAACTGTAAGGTGCTGAATGTGAAATATTTTACAGAGTAGAAAACTGGCTGTTTCACTTCGTACTAGAAACATGCAAGGTTAGTGACTGATGACAGAATAAAAGACCCCAAAACCTCAGAAATAACAATTTTCTGAACTATCTCTAGAATAAAAAATGACAATTAAAAGCACAGAATGAAAAATCCTAATCACTTCTAGCAGGAAGAGGTTGAGACAATTAGCTATTTTATGTAGAGCTAATAAGTTTTTAAAATGGAATATTTTTATAACAAAATTCTATTCAAAATAACAAAACTATTGAATTTTATGAATTACCTTTTTTTAAATTAAATTGCAGCTGAAGTTATAAATTGCTGTTTTGTTATGCCCGAGATTGAAAGCTTCTGACTTACTTCTAGATATGAAAACAGTTTTGACCTTTGATAATCTGGCAAATTGTTACTTATTCCCCAATTTGATATTTGTCTGCATTCTTCCAAAACAAGAGCATTGCAAAACTGTGAGAAATGTTGGCATCTTAATTTTAGTTGAATACTGTAGATCTTGCTTGTGCAGTTATGCCTTTGGCATTGGCTCTTTCAACTGAGGTTAAAGCAGAAGGCGGAGGAGGAGGGCAATCCAGTATCTACGTAATTAGTGTTTTTTGTATGATGGTGTAATTTCTGTTCCCTTGTTTATGACTAAGAAAAGGAGGGAAAAGATCGGCTTTGGAGAGATGAGAAGCAACTGCGTCATTATTTGGAGATGGAAGTGAGCATGCGTGAAGGGAAACAAAAGGCTGACAAACAAAAGTATTATAAAATAAAAAGGGATTGGAAACCACTTGCTTCTTCAGGTTTAGTAAGGTATCTTTAAAGCTTTTGGCCCCTTTGTCATACGTTGAAACTAGAAATAAATGAGTATGGACAAAGAAATACAGATAGAGTTTTCTTTCATTTTGTCTTTGGAAGATTAGTGGAGTATATGAAATCACTGCGAGTTGAAACAGTACTTTGAAAAAGAAGAAAGCTTTCATTAGGAGACTTCAAAGCAGCTACACCTGGAAAGCCTGATTGATTTGTGTCAATACGCTTTCATCAATAACACTTATTTTAAATGTTAAATTTTTTGTTACAAGTACAGTAAGAATGTCTTACAAGCTGTGAAATGTATGTCACAGGGTCAATGAGCGACAAGGAGGATTTGAGGCAGTAAGGACTGATAAGGACTTGCTGTTTTCTTTGGAGTTGTGGCAATGTGTAAAAGAACGGTACTTTCTGATCATGTGCTCATCTGTACATGCAGAGAGGATAGTCTTGTTTTGGATTTGTGCAGCTGTTTAGTTTTTGCTTATTTATACGAAATGACACTTAGCATTTAAATAGCAATTTTCATCTTCAAAGTAGTTGTGCAAGCACAAGCAAATTAATTCTTTTAACACCCCTATGAAGTAAGTAAAGTTATTCCAGTCTTGCAGACATTAAATTGAGAAAGACAAGTATCTTGCCTCAAGCTATCCAGGAAGCCATTGCAAATTCAGTTTTAGAAAACAGAGCTTTTCTTGCTCAGAGATAAATTTTCTTGTCATATTTACATATATTTGGGGATATTTTGTCTGAAAGGGAACAGGAGTGCACTTTTTAGACCTTTCGCTGTCTCTGCGTGTAGTTACATTTTAAGGAAATGATACAGTAGCTCTGTTTCAGTGTTCCAGGTAAGTACATTACAGCGCACTTTGCCAAATGTATATGAAATAGCCTAAACAGTGTTTGGCTTGTATCTGCTGTGTCATGTCCGTGGGAGAAGCCTCAATACACAAAGACATGTGAATTTGGGTTACCTTGGTTTTGGAGCTAGCTTTGAATTCTAGAAGAAAAAAAGGGTAACAGCCATGAGGTTGTGACAAGCTCTGGAAGCATGAAGTCTCTGAAAGCTTGTGTTAAACATCCTTATCTTCTTTCCCGGTAGCTATTCAGTATTTTGTAGTAAAAAGAAATAAAATGAAACTCTACCACATTGTTTTTGACATTTTAATAAAATGTTAAGAAGTGAGATTTCCATTTATTCATAATCAGTGTAGGAAGTAAAGAGTTTTTTATTTCTTGATATTTTTAAATAAAAATATTTTAAGACTGTCTCTGAGGATGTACAAGAAAATTCAGATGAAACAGAACTGAAACTGAAAATTCAGTGATAAAATTTGACATGCATAACACCTCAGTCAAGAGACATGTTTCCATACAACTTTTTTTGGTTGTGTACTGTGTGAATCAGAGTTACAGAGCACGCAAGTGTAGGAGGTTTAAATTGGAGATATCTGCTATGTCCTGAGCGTCAGCTCACTAGCAGGCAGAACTATGAGAAGATTGTGCATGTTTTTTGTTTTAATGGAAATAAGCTGCCTTATCCAGGAAGGAATGGGTGTTTGCGGCGGACATTGGGACAAAAATCAGATAGTGCTTGCTACGTTATGGCTGCTGAAAAAGAAGGTTGTAGTATGCACACATTATAATGAAGTCTTGGATACTCTGAGACATAGTGTGCTAAAATTTACTGATAGGAACTCCCCAAGTTGTATAGCACAATGAATTAATAT